AAAAAAAGAGGAACAAATGTAATAATCTGAACAATAAAGATTTAATTTAACTGGGAGGAGGGGAGTTATGGGGGAAAAAAAAGAGGAACAAATGTAATAATCTGAACAATAAAGATTTAATTATTTAAAAAAAAATTTAATTAAAAAAAACCCAGACAATTAATGCTATTGACATTTAAAGGACTTGTAAGTGCCCGGAAATACCCTAACACAGGGGGCAGGCAAACTATGATCTGTGGGCTAAACCTGTCTAGTCACCTGATTTTGTAAACAGTTTGATTGGAACACAGCTATACTAATTATTTTACGTATTTACAAATGTATATGGCTGTTTTCCTATTCCAACAGAGAGCTGAGTAATTTGTCTGCAAAGCTGAAAATATTTTTAATTTGGCTCTTTATAGAAAAGTTGGCAAATAGTAAGTACTCAATAAAAGCTATTGTTATGCAATAAAAATATGGGAATATCAAAAGAATATGAAGGTCGATTTCTTAATTATGTTTATTTCTGGAACTGTTTTAACTTTACCTTAAAAATGTTTTTGAGTAGCTACTATTTTGGTAACCTCATTTTGTCCTTCAAGGCCTCCTATCATTATATTAACTAGGTATTCTTTTCTAAGTATCCTAGTTAAATTTATATATTCAATAAATGTGAATCTCCACAATATAGATGATCCATTCCCAAATTCTGCACTGCAGACTAGTGGCAGCACAATAAATCCATGGTAAAATGATGAAAATAAGGACAATAAAACTGTCTTTTCCTCAAAGGTGGTTTTCTATATTTTTAAGTGTTAAAGTGTCCTTTCATTTATGAAATAATTGTGACCACAATAGTAGCATAAACAAAAGCTGATGATGCTATTTAGCCCTTTATTTTGTAAAAATTTATTTTACTAGTCCTTGTAATGGCCAGGTTAAGGAACCAGTATTAGAGACAATGTAAGGATTACCAATTTTTTGAGAACATGAGGTTTATAAAAACAAAGACGCTGTGTGCTAAATATGACTCAGAAAGGTTATCAGAATCTGATACATGAAATTAAGAAGCCATCTCATCAAATGCAACCAAGTGATGCTTTAATTAATGTTTAACTTATATAGAGAAAATGAAAAACAAATTGTCTTTTCCCCCACAAAATAAATAAAGATCAAATTGAAGTCGACAATGATTTATCTTCCAAAACAAGAGGCACAGGAGAAAAACAAATTTCTCTATCTCCTTTCCTTTTACTAATTTTCCACACAGGCACTGGCTTTCAACTAAGATGTTCCTTATACATACCCGACTTTTCGTTCTTTCCTTTTTTTAGTTGCATTCCTGTAAGACTGTGCTTTGAAGTGGTTTCTACCAGACCTAATTTGGAATTTCTGATTTAATTTAAAAGACTCTTACTGAACAAAATGGACTTTGCTTTTTTAAAAAAAATCTATATTTATCTTTACTTTTACAAGAATATAATCAAAACATATTCACCCTTTAAGGTACAAGCCATGGCACTGTTTTTAGGTTCTTTTGCTTCTCTTCTTGGTACATTTACTCTTTGGAATCTTTATTCCTTAAGTCAAAAACTACTTATTAATCAGCTAAAATGGGCCAGCCTTTTTCCTAGGTATTGAGGATACAGCAGCAAAATTCCCTGTCCTCCTGAATTTTTCTATAGGAGGATACACACACACACACACACACACACACACACGCACACACTTACTTCTCTCTCTGTATATCCAGCCACCCAATAGTCATAGGTGCTTTGGAGAAAAGACAAAGCAAAGCAGAGTGACAGGCAATACCAGAGCAGAGAG